TTAAAAAAATAGCCTACCTGGAGAAATAGTGGTCAAGTTTTCAAGAAGACAAACCAGAGATGCCATTTTAAAAGCAACATCAGCAAGTGAAAATGGGAAATGTAACCATTAAAACTTTAAAGGACATTCCATTTGAAATTAGACAAAAGAGGAAAAATTACAAGGACTTAATTTCTTTTCTTCAAACTAATGGGATATCGTACAGTTGGGCGGTTCCGGAGGGTGTCATCTTTAAGATCAACGATAGAAGGGAGAAGATAGACTCCACTTTTAAAGCTGAAGAATTTTTGGAACGTCAGCTGGGGACAGATGGAGTCTAAAGAGGGAGAATCGAAGTCGAGTGACTCTGCTACCTCGGGAACGGAGGAGGATTCTGCGGCAGAAAAGGGTGCAGGACCTGCCAGAGTGGTATACAATTTTAGAGACAGAAAGCCGAAGTAAAGGCAGAAGGACTTGGAAAATGGCCTTTTGAAGCAAAGAATAAAAAGATGATCAGAGACTTCTCTCATAACAACTAACAAAATAACATACAAGAAGCGAATTGTTATAAGCAAGAACTCAACAAGTATATTGTGATAATAAAACTATTGGTACTAGCTTCTCTTATGTTCTTATGTCTGGGGCAGTGACGCTCTGTCTTGGTGTTTGGGGGGCAAGAGTGGGAGGGCTTCTGGAGTTCTGGCCCTGCTGGTGGACCTCCTGAGGGCCCCTGGGTTTTGACCACTGTGTGACACAGAGTGTTGGACTGGAGGGGCCATTGGCCAGATCCAGCATTGCATCTCTTATGTTCTTATGTCTTGGGCAGTGACGCTCTGTCTTCTTGGTGCTTGGGGGGCAAAAGTGGGAGGGCTTCTGGAGTTCTGGCCCTGCTGGTGGGCCTCCTGATGGCCCCTGGGTTTTGGCCGCTGTGTGACACAGACCGTTGGACTGGATGGGCCACTGTCCTGATCCGACATGGCTTCTCTTATGTTCTTACATATTCTTAAAGATAACACAAAAGGTATCCTTACCTAGTGCTTCTGAAATCTGATGTAGGTTAAAATGGTTATCGTTTCTATCTAGACTTGGAGCTGGTTGGATTCATCGACATAGCAGATATTTCCAGTCCCCCCGTGCTATCGAGGCACTTGGTGTTGCCCATCGCCCTCAACAAAGGTGAGTTCTTGTGCCTCGCCCTCACCAGCAGTGGCGGAACTTTGTTGGGCTTACAGCTGTGTCCTGATTCTCTTTTATCATCCTCCTTCCCAGAAGGTGACGAAGTGGGGCCGGGAATCACCGACGATGCGGAAGACGAGAATTCGGCCAATCAGATTGCGGGCAAGAGCCCCAACTTCTGCGTGCTCTTGCATGGGAGCTTGAAGGTGGAGGGCATGGTGGCCATTGTCCAGTTAGGGTACGGAGGTGGCACTTGGCATGGGAGTTTCGGGGCATGGAGGTGGAACGGCTTTGTTGCATTCTGGCCCGGAGATGAACCTTCGGGTTCATCAGACTCAGGCACTGACTTCCCGTATGGAAAAGAACCTGGACTAGCTCATGAGGGTTCGTGAAGTGGAGATCCACTGAGAAATGGCTTCTTCCCTCTGCTTCAGGAAGCAGGACTCCCAGAGGCCTCTGGGAGAAAGATCCCTTCTCAGTTTTGGAGGTTTCTCCAAGTCAGGTGCAAACAGGCAACACTTTAAACCAGGGGTGGCCAAACTGTGGCTTGGGAGCCACATGCGGCTCTTTCACACGTATTGTGCGGCTCCCGGCAGGGCAGCTGGGGAAGCGAAAGGGAGGCATGCCTCCCCGATCGGTCTTCCCTTCCCCAGCCACTGTCCTTGAAAAAGAGAAGTTTCTGGAAAGTGCTCTCTCAGCCCCACCGGCCTCACAGGGTGTCTGTTGTGGGGAGGGGAAGGGAAAGGAGTTTGTAAGCCGCTCTGAGACTCCTTTGGGTAGTGAAGGGCAGGGTATGAATCCAATCTCCTCCTCTTTTTCCACCTCCTCCTCCACCACCACCTCCTTCTCCTCCTCCTCCTCCCTCTTCTTCTTCGTCTTCTTCTACTTCTTCCTTTCCCCTCCATCACTTCCCCATCTATTTGCTTTCTTTGTTTCTCTTTCTCTCTTTCTACCGCTTTCATTCTTTCTTTTCACCTCTCTCTCTCTTTCTCTGACAAATAAATATCATTAGCAAACAGATAAGTATCATTGGACAAACAAATCTCATTATCAATATCTGTTTTTACCCCTTTTTGTTTTTATTTTTGGCAGTCTCATTGAATGTTAATAAGAACGTACGTGTGATATTTGTCTCGCGGCTCTCAGACATCTGACGTTTATTCTACGTGGCTCTTGCGTAAAGCAAGTTTGGCCCCCCCTGCTTTAAACCTTCCCAAGAGAGGAGAAAGTGATGCCCAGGCTCTGATTATTTCAATTTCAATTTATTACGGGTCTATGTGACCGAAGTCTTGACCAAAAAGAGAATGCAAAAGGGGTAAAATAAGTACATAAAATTGACATAAAATATGACAAGTACATAGTCACAATCAGTAAACATATAAAACCCAGGTATAGCCCAGAGAATAAAAAGACCTAACTACACTTGGGGCGGAGCCAACTAACTAAAATCCTCCGAAGATTGAGAGTCGGTGTAGGTGTCAGCAAAGATGATAGTTTTCGATGTTTCTCGAGAGCAGCAACCTTAGCCAGGAACCGCGCCACGTTAGCCGTTATCAGTCCATCGGCATTTGAATCCGATAACAATACTGAGAGCACCCAAGGTTGCGAGGGAAGATTCATCTTCGTGAGAATAGGAGTGATATATATCCCTCTATCTTGAGTCCAATGGGGACAGGTTCTGATTATTCTACCCTCAGGAAACGCATCCATCAATGCAGAAAGAGCCCGACGAGAACTGGCTGTTCTGCTGATGGGTGGTTGTTTCTTTTTGCTTTTTCCTTTTAGGCCAGAATGGTACGGGATGCTGTATTCCCAAGCCGACAGCAAGAAGAAGTCAAACCTGATGATGTCTCTCTTTGAGCCGGGCCCAGAACCTCTCCCTTGGCTGGGCAAGATGTCCCAGCTGGGCCCCATCTCAGGTACCGGCTGTCCTTGTTGGTTCTCTCCAGAATCGAAAGGGAGGGGGGGAGGTGACAGGGCTTGGTGGCAGAGCCCCTCCTTTCCATGGGGAATTAATTATGCACGGGGTGGAAAGAGTTCACAGTAACAACGACAAATATTTATTTATTATTTATTAATTAGATTTTTATCCTGCCCTCCCGCCGAAGCGGCTCACACAAAAAATAAGTTTATTGTCTTAGCCATTGGCCATAACAAATCACAGCATGATAAAATAAGAATCACATCCAACTACAGAAGGGTGGAGAGAGTTGAAATTTTCCTCCCTCTCCCAAAATACTAGAACGGGAGGGCATCCAATGAAGTCGATGGGCAGTCGATTCGGGACGGGCGAAAGGAAATAACTTCTTAGCACGGGGAGTGATTAGAATCTTGGATTCGCTGCCAGAGGATGTCCTGGCCACAGGCACAGGCAGCTTTAAAAGGGGATCATGCAGATTCATGGAAGAGAGGTGTACCAGTGGCTACCAGCCCTGGTGACTCAGGGTAACCTCCGTGTTCAGACGCACAAAGCCTCTGAATCCCAGAGTCAGGAGGCAACATCAGGAGAAGGCCTTGGCCTCTACGCCCTGTTGTTGGCCCTCCAAACGAACTGGTTGGCCACCGTTTGGTGTAGCAGTTAAGAGCACCTCTACGCCCTGTTGTTGGCCCTCCAAACGAACTGGTTGGCCACCATTTGGTGTAGCAGTTAAGAGCACCGACTCTAACCTGGGAGAACCGAGTTTGATTCCCCACTCCTGCACATGCAACTGCTGGGGTGACCTTGGGTCAGTCACAAATATTTTCAGAGCTGTTCTCTCACAAGCAGTCCTCGAAAGAGCTCTCTCAGCCCCACCTACCTCACAGGCAGTGTTCCCTCTAAGCTGAGTTAGTGTGAGCTAGCTCAGAGTTTTTTAGCCTCCGGCTCACACATTTTTGTCCTGGCTCATGAAGGATGGCTCCAGGGAAAACTAATTTATGCGGCAGCCAGATTGCTTGCTCACAACTTAAATGCCAGTAAGCTCACAAAGGAGATTTTTTGCTCACAAGACTCCACAGCTTAGAGGGAACATTGCTCACAGGGTTTCCGTTGTGGAGAGGGGAAGGGAAAGGAGATTGTAAGCTGTTCTGAGACTCCTTCAGGTAGTTGTCAGCTAGCTGCCATAGAAGACTGGGAGGCAGTTGGTTCCCCCCCCCCTTCTCCCCTGGCATCTGCGCATGCCCTATCTTCCCTGTGTATGATTTTGTCTCATGCATTCCTGTCTGTAAACGCTAGGCAACGCTTATCTGCAAGGTTAACAGGTGTGTGGGGGAGCTGCTTTGCCAACTGTATAATGAACTGCACCGTGTGAAGCTGTAATTGTTTAGGTTTTAAGGAACGTTGCTTCTCAGGCTTTTGAGCGCGTAACCTGGAGTCTGCCCACTCGGCGGGAATGGAGATTATTGGTTATTACCCTGTTTGAATGTCTTACATTATTCCTTGCCCACCCTGGCCCAGGCATTCTGGACAGTGAACTTGTTCCTGCTCTATCATAGCTTTAATAAAATACTACTTTGCCTAAACGTGTATTGAATTAATAGCTGTGGGGGACCGGACAGTAGTGAAGGTCAGGGTATAAATCCAGTCTAATGTAATGTTTCTAATAAATCTAATGTATTTAGCTTGGAAAAATGATGGCTGAGGGGTGACATGATCGAGGTTTATTAGATTATGCATGGGATAGAGCAGGTAGAGAAAGAAGTACTTTTCTCCCTTTCTCACAATACAAGAACTCGTGGGCACTCCCATGAAATTCCTGAGCAGTCAGGTTAGAACAGATAAAAGGAAGGCCTTCTTCACCCAAAGAGTGATGAACACATGGGATTCACGGCCACAAGAGGTGGTGGCGGCTACAAGCATGGACGGCTTCAGGAGGGAATTGGATAAGCATATGGAGCAGAGGTCCATCAGTGGCTATTAGCCACAGGGTATAGATAGGAACTCTCGGTCTGGGGCAAGGGATGCTCTGTCTCCTTGGTGCTGGGGGGGG